GTCCATCAGTGGCTATTAGCCACAAGGTATAGATAGGAATTCACAGGCTGGGGCAAGTGATGCTCTGTCTTCTTGGTGCTTGGGGGGAGTCAACAGTGGGAGGGCTTCTAATGTCCTGGCCCCACTGGTGGACCTCCTGATGGCACTGGTATTTCTGGCCACTGTGTGATGCAGAGTGTTGGACTGGATGGGCCTTTGGCCTTATCCAACATTGGCATCTCTTATGTTCTTATGTTCTAAGTCTATAAGAATTTATCACAACTTCAGTTAGTGAACTTCAGGCCAAAGGCCCTTTGGATGGGCCTTTGGCCTGATCCAACATTGGCGTCTCTTATGTTCTTATGTTCCTCTCCTCCTCCAAATCTGAGACAGAACTACAGAGACAGACAAGCCTTTGGTGACCATGACACCTTGGAAGGTGGTGAAACACGAACAGGGTTTATCTGAGCAGATTAACGAGATTGTAGGTATGCAAGAAGGCAGTCCTTCAACACTTTCAAAGCCCTGAATGGTCTGTGATAAGGGAAAGAACCAGCCCACGCCCAAAGACAAATTGGCAAACAATGTTGTTCAAGACTTGTAAGGAACAACAAGGTAACAAGCAGGTGGGCGTGGAGGTGGTCTTGCAAAAATCTATGTTTAAAGACACTCATCAGTTTGTAGACACAACAGAATAACTAGACTTCAGAGGAGCCTCTGGCTCACACATTTTCGTCTCCTCTCAGGAAGGATGGCAGGCGCTTAGGGCTTTTTAGCTTGGAGAAACGACGACTGAGGGGAGACATGATTGAGGTTTATACGATTATGCATGGGATAGAGCAGGTAGAGAAAGAGGTACTTTTCTCCCTTTCTCACAATACAAGAACTCGTGGGCACTCCATGAAATTGCTGAGCGGTCGGGTTAGAACGGATAAAAGGAAGTACTTCTTCACCCAAAGAGTGATTAACACTTGGAATTCACTGCCACAGGAAGTGGTGGCGGCTACAAGCATGGACGGCTTCAAAAGGGAATTAGATAAGCATATGGAGCAGAGGTCCATCAGTGGCTATTAGCCACAAGGTATAGATAGGAATTCACAGGCTGGGGCAAGTGATGCTCTGTCTTCTTGGTGCTTGGGGGGAGTCAACAGTGGGAGGGCTTCTAATGTCCTGGCCCCACTGCTGGACCTCCTGATGGCACTGGTATTTCTGGCCACTGTGTGACACAGAGTGTTGACTGGATGGGCCTTTGGCCTGATCCAACATTGGCGTCTCTTATGTTCTTATGTTCCTCTCCTCCTCCAAATCTGAGACAGAACTACAGAGACAGACAAGCCTTTGGTGACCATGACACCTTGGAAGGTGGTGAAACACGAACAGGGTTTATCTGAGCAGATTAACGAGATTGTAGGTATGCAAGAAGGCAGTCCTTCAACACTTTCAAAGCCCTGAATGGTCTGTGATAAGGGAAAGAACCAGCCCACGCCCAAAGACAAATTGGCAAACAATGCTGTTCAAGACTTGTAAGGAACAACAAGGTAACAAGCAGGTGGGCGTGGAGGTGGTCTTGCAAAAATCTATGTTTAAAGACACTCATCAGTTTGTACACACAACAGAATAACTAGACTTCAGAGGGGGAAACTCCATTGCAAAGTCTTAGGAGATAACAGATCTGGGTCATAATGACCAGGATCTGATGAAGAAAACCCCATAAGAACAGTGTTCCCTCTAAGCTGAGTTAGTGTGAGCTACCTCACAGTTTTTAAGCCTCTGGCTCACAGATTCTTGTCTCATCTCAGGAAGGATGGCTCCAGAGAGCAAACTCATTCATGCAGCGGCCAAATCGCTTGCTCACAACTTTAAGGCCAGTAGCTCACAAAGTAGAATTTTTGCTCACAAGACTCCACAGCTTAAAGGAAGCATTGCATGGGAAGTTAAATAATGTGGGGTTTTTTTGCTTCCATAATAAATAGTACCCATAGGATAAACAAAGACGTAGGAAAACCACATGCATTGGGTCATCTGAGCTCCACCGTCTCTGCTCCACTTCCTTGACTGCTGCTTGCAAGGGCGGCTGAAGTCTGGAGAGCAATAAGATCATTTCAAGTTTTTTAAGTTGCTAACATCAGGGGAGAGAGGAGGAGGAGGAGGAGGAGGACAATGACGCAGCGCTGGGGTTTTCGGCAGCTGCCACGCGTGTTCTAATAAGCCTAGTTCCTGCTGTCAAATAACCACTTTCGGAAGAAAAGAATAAAACAGACCATTACGTCGCACGGACAAATTAATTCCTACCGGTGAGCTGAGGACAAAGCAACTTTGGGCTGAGGCGGGGTCCAGTTTCTGGCAGAAGACGTTTCAATTGACCATTCTTTGCCCTCAGCCAATGCAGCCACCTGAAAAGAAAAAAGAAAAACAGTGAGCGGGGACTCACGAAAAGCTCATCCCCTGCCACACGTTTTGTTAGTCTTTAAGGTGCTACTGGACTCCTGCGCTTTTCTGCTGCTACGGACAGACTAACAAGGCTCCCCATCTAGATGCAAAGAGTAAAAATACAATATTACATTATAGACCCAAATGTGAGTCTAAAAGAAGAAGAGGAGATTGGATTTATATCCTGCCCTTCACTCAGAGTGGCTTACAATCTCTCATGAAAACTGCCCTTGAGAGAACAGCTCTGACAGAACTATAGCTTGCCCACCCGGTTCTCCCAGATTAGAGTCCGCGCGCTTAACCACCGCGCCAAAGCTATTTTCTACTGTACCGCAGAAAGAGAATCACAAGACGGAGCTCTTCCGCCAGGCTTTTGAATAGGAGCCGCCACCACCAGTGTACCACCAACGCACCAGTGTACCACCAACGCCCCATAATTTCTGTATCTGGACATCATGACGCGGGCATCACGGGTGAGAACGGGACGTTTAGGGGACAGCCATCTTGCTTTTAGAAATCGTAACTTCGGACTTGGTTTAGAGGAGCACCAAAATTGTTTATTAACTGTGATGTACTTTTAAAATTTTGTATTGTTTATTGTTTTATTTGGCGATATGCCTTG